TTACTTGTCCTTTGGTGGAGGGGAAAGTGGGAGCCTTGTGGTCAGGTAGTTTAAACTAAAGGATTAAGTAGAGGGTAAGTTTTTGATTCCTATGTTAATCACACTGCCCAGGAACTTCCAAGGTCTTGAGTTCTTTATCTTTGTCTTCCTAATTGCTTGAGTTTAGCTTTGTCTAATTCCTCAGAGTCCAGTTGCCTTTGCCTTTCTAATTGTTGGAGTCCAGCTCCTGAAGTCAAAACTGGCTTGTTAATTTCTAATGAAGCTCAATGAGGTCTTTTGAAAGTATCCAGGTTTTCTTTCTTTCTTGCTTGCTTGCTTGCTTGCTTTCTTTCTTTCTTTTTTTTTTTTGAGATGTAGTTGTGCCAAGTACCCAGAATGGCCCTGAATTTGACATCTTCCTGCTTCAGCCTCTCAAGTGCTGGGATTACCATGCACTAGCACACCTAGCAATATTTTCTTTCACAATTTAAGAGTTATGACTTAGGTCTGGCATGGTGGTGGCATGCATGTAATCCCAGCACTGGAGGCTGAGGCAGGAGGATTGCTGTGAGTTCAAGGTCAGCCTGAACTATATAGGGAGAACTTCTGTCAAAAAAAAACAAAACAAAAAAAGGGCCAGAGATTTAGCTCAGTGGTGCCATACCTGCCTTGCAAGTGCAAAGTCCTGAGTTCAATCCCTGGTACCACAAAAAAAAAAAACTTAAGATTTGGAGGAATTGCTATAACGAGTTGGATAAAGCAAAAGTCAGAGACATATGCACCATGTGCTATTTAATAAAATGGTAAGTAAAATGTCTTTATTAATATCTGGTAAAAGGCAGTGAGGTATGTAGGGGTTAAGGGAGCTTTTGGTTTATCTTATATCATTACTATATTTTGTGTGTTTGTGTGCTGAAGCTCCAACCCAGGACCTTGCACAAGCTAAGTAAGGCTAACCTTTGAGCTAAACACTAAGCACTGGCACCGTTCTTTTTTTCTTTTTCTGGTACCAAGGATTGAACTGGTGCCTTCAAGCTGAGCTACATCTCTGTCTTCCCCCCATCCCTTTTTGAGACAAGATCTTGCTTTGTAGTTCAGGCTGGCCTCAAACTCACTATGTAGCCCAGGCTGGCTCCTCGCTCACGGTGATCTTCCTCAGCTTCCCAAGTGTTGGTGATATAGGGCACCAAGTAATCCAAAAATGATATAGGGCAAGTAATCCAAATAGCAAAAATAACCCAAACAAGGGAAATATTACAACTCCCAATCTGCTAGATATCCAAAACGTGAGTTCCTGCTCTCAAAAATCAAAGAATGAGTCATGGTGGCTCACGCTTATAATCTGAGGCTGTGGCAGGAAGATTACCATGAGTTCAAGGCCAGCATGGGCTACATAGTGAGACCCTGTCTCAAAACACCAAAAAAAAAAAGAAAGAAAGAAAGAAAAAAATCAAAGAATGAATTCTGGGAACAAAGGAGTACAAAAAATTTACTGAAAGATTGCTCCTATCTGAGAGAGACAGAAGGGGGACTGGAAAGTGGGTTGCCTGCCTACCCTGCTTTTCAAAGTCATTTTATTGAGCAAAGCCGTAAGGTGAGGTGGGTACAGAGTGGGACAAAACTATAAGATCCAATGGAAAATTACAAGGTGGGCATGAGGTGGGGCAAAACCATGACCAACCAATAAAATGACAAATATAGTCACCCCCGGAATATTGATTAAATGAGGATTGAATGGGAAAACAAGTCCCATACAAGGAATTTCTGGAAGGGAAATGGGCTAGGGAGATTGATGTCTATTTAAAATATCAATCACTGCCATTTATCCCCAAGGGGAAGTAGGTAATTACAGTACCTCTTCTCTTTTTATAATGCTAACTGGTGAATGTGCCTCAGCTGTTTTTCTATGCTGAGGGCCCAGCTTTGTCTAACTGCCTTATAATAATTTCTAACTAACTTAGCTGTCTGCAGTACCAGGATCACAGGTTTGCACCACCACACCCAGCTTATTTTCCTTATTCTTTTTTTTTCCCTTATTCTTGAGCCTTTGTATTTCTAGGCTCAGGCCTCCAATTATTCCCTTCCTCTCAAGACTAGAGGGTGTTTTCTGGTTGACTTCCACCACTCAACAGATGTGAGGGACTTTTCCCCGGGTGAGCTGCTCCCCTCCCTAACCTCCTGTGACAGTTCTCCTAGTTTTTCACGTTTCCCTGATTATTCTAGTCTCTATCAGGTGTGTCCTTTTTGCCACAAGACATGGGGTTTTTAATACTTGGTTCATTCTGCATCCCAGAAATCACCCTTTTTACCCAGAGTCCAAGGACTTTAAAAGAGAGACTGACTTCTCTCTATGATGGTATAGTTGGTCCACACTGGGGGAGAGCTCTTTAAGTATCTAGTTTCCTTACATCATTTTCTTGGAGTCCATTATATGCACTTTCTATTGCTGCCCCAAAACCAACCACTGCAAGCTTAGCTGGGCAAACAGTAGGCACTTTCAATCTCCCAATTCTGTGGCTCAGAAGCCTAGGCATGGGGAGGAGTGCTGCTCAGCAGCTGAGCATTCCCTTTGCATGGAGAGTCCTGGGTTTGACACCAATCATGGGGGTTGGGAGGTGAATACCAGAAAAAGAAATGCATGTTACCATATCACACAGTTGCTTTTAAAAATATTTTTATAACTTTCATATTAAATTAATTTCTTTTGAAATTTATGTACTAAACGGGTTTTATTTTGTTTTTTGAGACAGTCTCACCATGTAGTTCAAGCTGGACTTGAACTCACTATGTAGCCCATGCTGGCCTCATACTTGCTGCAGTCCTCCTGCCTCAGCCTCCTGAGTCCTGAGATTACAGGAATGCAATCTGTTAGCCAGGTGTGTATCAGACTTTCTGGCAGCAACACGCTCTCCCTTGGATCTGTTTTTTAACTAGTTACCTGTGGTTTGGCACTGGAAAACCTTTTGTAGGCCAAACACAATACAGTATATTCCAGGAGCTGCTCCATGTGAGATATATTTATTTATTAACTACCTCAAAAAGTGCTGAGAGGTATTACGGTTATGCCCATTTTACTGGTGAGAGATCTGAACTAAGTGATTTCACTCCAAAGTTGTATCATAGTGAATCTGCATGCTTGTAATCCCAGCACTTGGGAGGCTGAGGTAGGAAGATCACCACGAGTTTGAGGCCTGCTTGGACTACATAGTTCAAAGCCAGTCTCAACTACATAGTAAGACCCTGTCCAAAAAAAAAAAAGTAGTGAGCTGCTGAGCCAGAATCTGAAGGCAAAGGAACTTTCCCGTGGCATATGGCAAGAACCAGCCACATCTGCTTTTCTGGTTCCTTGTTTACTTCCTATAAAATCCCTAGGTCTAATTTCTTGCAGCGATTTCTGGACATTACTGGTCAGTTCTTAATGGATCTTAATGGACGGAGTAAATAGTGGTTCTCCTACCACAGTAACCTGGGGCCCAAACAGTGGTGAGGACCAGGGATCAGTCATGCTGCTGGGGGCAAGGACAATCCTCACACAGCCCCCCCAGAGCAGCTGATTGGTTATACCCAAGAATACGCTCCCGCCACCACGCCTACACTGGATAAGACCGGTGGACAGAACCAGATAAAAAGACACTGCAGAATCGGAAGTCCGACCCTACCTTCACTTCAACGGGGCTGAGCCACTGCTCTTGAGACTGAAAAATAAAATGGCTAACAGACAGGTGGGATACCAGCGCAGGATAATGTTGGTCATGAGCAGTTTTATTTTTTTAGCCCAAGCAAATTCCTTCGTGGCTGACCCTTCCTGAACTGATGCCCACTCCAAGTACCTGTCTCCCTTATATATTCCTTCTTGGCAGACGGTACCCTGAACTGGTACATATTCCAAATATCTGTCACCCTTATCTAGCTGACCCTACCCTGAACTAATGTTTCTTACCCTGAGTTTGAACTTGCTATAGACCAATCAGTAATAATGATATCATATGTAACCAATCAACTGCTTGGCCTGCTTCTGTACTAGTTCCTGCTTGCAAACCCTATATAAGCTGTAGAAGGACAAAAGACAAACACCTGGTTCTTTGACCAGGCCCAAGAACGTAAAGTTTGCTTTCTGCCTTCAAGTCCTGGGTGCCTTTCGGTGTTTCCCGTTTGCCATTACACTCTGGCCTCCACGACACAGCGGGACTGCTCTCCTGTGCTCCTAGCCCACCGGGGGTCTAGTGAGGACCTAGGGAGGGACTGGGACTCGGTCTGGCCTCCCGAGTGGGAGTGCTCGGACGGGGACGTCACACCTCACTGTGAGCCTCCTCGGGGGTAAGGGATGGGGAGAGACGATGTGGCTCTGCGGCAGGGCGCTCGCGCATTCAACCCCTCAGTCTGTCCTGGGGGCATCGCGCGCACTTCACAGAGAACGCTGGCTGCTCCCCCTTCCGGATCTTGGTTCCGAGGCCATCAGTCAGCACTGTTCACAGCGGACCGCAAAGACTGAGGTGTACGTCCTCGGCTCCCACCCAGCTCTGTGGGGTTAGGCTCCGACCAGCCGGGCGAGCCCAGCAATCGGCGCACCCGCGCGCTCCGCTTTAGGACCGCGCGGCGCGGGGAGGGCGGAGCCGGGCGGGCCGGTTCGGGGACCCGCCCCGGAGGCGGGCTCGGCGACTTCCCGGTCGGGCGCGGCGTCTTTCGCTCTAGGGCCGCGCGCTGCGGTGAGTGCCAGGCGGACGGTCCCGAGCGGCTGGGCCCCCGGGCGCGGCGGCGGGCTGGCGGGCAGACGGCTGGCGGCTCCGGCGCTTTGTTCGGCGTGAGCCCGCGCTGCGGGCTCCCCGGGCGCTGGCCCGGCCCTGCCCTGCCTGCGAAGCCTTTCCCGCCGCGGTCCGGGCCGGGCGGGGGGCGGCGCCTCGCCGCACCCCAGAGGTCGCAGAGGGCTTGGGCTTAGGCGCGGCGCGCCCAGCTGCGGGTTGGGGAGCCGTGGGCCTCCCAGGTCCGCCCGTGTTTTTAGTTCTCTGCGGTCGCGGGAGTGAAAAGTGCCCTTTGTTTTCTTTGCCTGTGGTCACTGCGCGCCCCGCCCCCACGGAGCCTGGGTCCGGAGCCCAACGGCGCCCGCTCCCGCTGGGGCAGAGGCAAGGGCGCGGGCTAGGGGCGCGGGCTAGGGGCGCGGGGCGCGCCCAGCTCCACCTCTGAGGCAGGCGCCGCTCCCGAGCGGTCTGGCCGCCCTGAGGGGCAGCAGAGCTCTCGGCTAAGCGTTTCCTGGCTGTGCTAACAGGCAAGCCTCGGAGCTCGGGTCGGGATTGTCATTTTTTGCTTCGAGACTTAGGTCAGTGGGAAATAGTGTTTATTAAGCGTTGACGTGCGCTTCTGTTGAGGTTTTAGTTACCTTTTCCCCCCTCCCGGTGCAGTCGGGATTCGCTTACTAATAATAATAATAAAAAGATCTTGGAAGGTAAATGTTACTGTTTTTCTAACTTTAGAGAATGATATTTTTTGGCGAGTTTTAACTGTTCCGCTTTTACGTGCGCCAACTCGGTATGCTTCCCGGGCATCCTTAAGGAAGTTTTATGCAGCCCTGTGATTTTTTAGTCATAAAATGTTTCTTGCTGTCCATAGGACCGAAGAAGAAAACACGCTGTGGAAAGGACTGGCTTCCTTGGAGGGACCTGGGAACATGTACAATAGTTAAAAAGCAAATGATTTTTAGGTGAGTATGTCAAATCAGCCTACCTGATTTAACGAAGTAGTTATTCATACTGCACTGTGGAGGGTTTTATTATGGAATGAAATGTATTAATTCAACGGATCAACATTGATTAAAAACTTTAAAACCTGGGCCGGGGATTTAGCTCAGTGGCACCGTACTTGCCTTGCAAGTGCAAGGTCCTGAGATCGATCCCTGGTACTGCAAAAAAAAAAAAGAAGAAAAAAACCTTAAAAACTTGTAGGAGATAATACATTTGATTAAAAAGCTGGAGAATAATTAATATGCTTGGCATAGTATGGAGATTTCAGTTGCTGGTCTTAGGAAATGGATTTTTGGCAGCCCCATGCTACACAGGTCCTCTGCTGCTGCTGTGCGTGTAGCCCAAGAAGATAGTACTCAGTGAGGTAGCTGAAAGGGCCAAATCAGGTGTGGTCTTACACATTTATTCGGACTTGACTGTTAACTATTTCTGGCACTTGGGGCTGTGTGGGAGTGTGGGGGAAGAGCTCCAGCCTTCGAGAGCCATTCCTGTACAGACAAAGTGATTGACCTTGGGGTTTGTCTCTGGTGACCACAGAACTTGCCTTAGCTGCTGCATGGTGAAGACTGGTTCTACAGTCACCTCAGAACTTGGCTCTACCGCTTGCTGTGCAACCCCGGGAGCATTAACCTTTGCTGCAGTTTCATCATTAGTGAAATGGGGATAACAGTAGTCCTAACCTTGTGAACTTGTTGCAGGAAAGTTACAGAAGTTTCACACGTAGAGCAAACTTAGAAAAGCTTCCACCAGGTGTGGTGGCCCATGTATAATTTCAACACTCTAGGAGGCTGAGGCAGGATTGCAGGTTTGATCCCAGCTGAGGCAACTTGGTGACTTAGTCCCTATCTCAAAAAAAGGTGTTGGATGTAGCTCATTGTGCAGCCCCTGAGTTCAGTCTCCCCAGTACCACCAAATAAAAACAGTCCCCAGCACATGGTGAGTGCTTTCCTTTTAGCTACTATCGTGTTACAGGAAGTATGTTTTATGGCCTAAGACATTTAACACTGTTGCCCTCTTTTGAGCTCTGAATGATCTTCCTGTTTGTGAAGCCCATTACTGTTGGTGCTGCAGGGCCTCTGGTCAGTACTCATGCACAGCAGGTTTTGCCTGCAGGCTTCTTTGAAGTTAGTACTATCTCCCTGAATTCCTTGGCTAGGGCAACCATTGTTCTTCCCTGTTACCTGTGAGAGGCATAAGGAATCTTCCAATCTAGATAATCAGCATTGCAGTAGGCACTCTGGTGTTTAGGGAGTTAATCTCATCATCTTTAAAATATGTTTGTAAAGGTGAATGATAAACCATAATCTCCTACTTGGGAGGCTGAGGCATGAGGATCATTGATTTCAAGACTAACAGGGGGCTCACCTGGAAATTGAGTGATAGTCTCCTTCAAAATAAAAAGTGTTGGAGGTGTGGCTCAACAGTAGAGCACTTGCCTAGCACACCAGATGCCCTGGGTTCAATGCCCTGTGCTACAAAAAAGAAGAGAATGGTTAACTAAAGCGCTTTTTGTCTAAGCAGGCCTCCCTCCCAGCCTTCAGGGGCTTGCTTCATTACTGGAAACAGACCTGGACAGCATTCAGTTTGAGATAAAAGAACAATACACTGGTCCTGGGTGTAGAAATGCAAGTTTACTTCGAAAGAAGTAATCTTGTGGACCTGGAAGAACTTTAAGGGTTTTGTCTGGGGGCAGCTATGTAGTCTTAATTCCTTGCTGCTGTGAATGCACTTATATGTGAAAAACAAGGTGGTTGCCAGCCTGAGGAGCTAAATATCTCCAGTGAGGTGGAAACTGTTTTCTGTTCATGGTTCTGTAAATAGTTCTAAAGGTTTAATGACAATGACTTGAGATTCTCCTGAGATGTATCAAATTACAAGGCTTAATTTGTAAAGTCTAGTGATTATAAAGTAGTAGTGTCAAAATTTAATTGCACAGTTACATTTCTTTTTTTGTTTTGTTTTGTTCTTTTTGAGTCAGGATCTTGCTATGTAGTTCTCACTGGTCTTGAACTCACTGTGTAGACCAGGCTGGCCTCAAAGTCCCAGCAATCTCTCTGCCTTAGCCTCCCAAGTACTGGAATTACAAGCATGGGACACTACCCCCGAGCTGTTTGCCTTTTCTAACCAAAAAAGAACCTTCTCTGAGCAGATGGATCTCCTGAAGTATGGTGCTGGCAGTCTGGTTGCATCTGAACTGTGAGCGGCTGGACTATTGTCCCCATCATCGAACTCTCAGCACGCAGAGCAGCAATTCAGTCTCCTACAAGTAGGGTACACGTACACTGGAAAGAGCATAACCTAGATTATGTACTGAAATTTTCACTTTACTACAAAGAGTAATAAGCCAAAGAAGGTTATTGTTATAACAATCTTGGCTTGGAATACACCAATGTGGTGAGAGGGTTACCTAACTGTATTCTAGAAGACCTAGGTTCTTGGGAGAAACATAATCGCATTTCACATCCAAAGAAGCCAGCAGTAACTAGTGCCACAACCACGCAGAAGTCTGTACCAGTGACATAGCTTATTTCCAGGGGAAGTGCAACTCTTAACAATTCCTCCGAGGCCACATGGAGACCAGGTTTTAAAGTAGCAGGATTGGGCAACAGATGGATTTCTATTTAATGGTACTGAATACAAATGTGTAAAGTTACGCCCACCATTTTATATGGTAAAGGACCAGACACAGAGCATGTTGCCTTGAATGAACACATCTTGCGTAATGTGCGTATACTAACCCTGTGTCCTTTGATGTCCATATATTATCATTTAGACAAATCTTAGGCTCACAGCACATTCACTCTTAGATTGACACATACATAAAAGTGGTTCATCAAGCCAGAGTGTAAACATACCCTGGATAAAAAGACTTTACAAAGCTAACCGAAATTTAAACACTGCCTCTGTTACGACAGTTTCTTAAGTCAGCAGGCCAACACAAAAACACAAGAAATAATCTCAATAAAACACAGGAGGTTGGATGTGGTACCTCATGTATTGAGGAGGCTGAGGCAAGAGGATTGCTGTGAATTTAAAGCCAGCCTGAACTACATAGCGAGACCCTGTTTCAAAAAATGTATACAACCCTTGTTCTTTACGTCAGTTTTATAAATGTAATTATGAGCTGTCCAGTGTTTTAAGAAAACCTTGTTACTTTAGAGAATTAGATTTTCCTTCCATATCAACGTGATACATTTTCTTTTGAAAAGCACTTAAAAGAGCCTTTTTAATTATGAGCAGTTCAGTCCCACAAACAAGAATTTTAACAGTTGTGTTTTAGAATCCCTTTACAACCTGTTCAGGTACTTTACTGGTTTTAAAAATTTAGTCATTTATTTTATTTATTCTCTTTTCAGTTTGTGGCTCAGAATGGCTTTAAAGTCACTATGTAGCCCCTCCAATTCGTGGCAATCCTCCAGCCTCAGGCTCCCAAGTGCTGGGATTGTAGGTGTGGACCACCTTGCCCGGACAATCTAGAACAAAAGAAAAAATGTTTGCCATCCCAAGTCCTTTTGCATCCAAGATGTTTATCTAAAAGTGAAAGTAGGGGAGAGAAAGGGAAGGGTAGAGTAATGCTTTTCCAGTCCCAAGAGACTGTAGCTAGGAGCTGAAGGAGTCCCCAGGGGCAAACCTCCCTTTCATTGCATATAAAATCTATGCCAGAATAGTAATGCTGAGCATCTTTAGTGATGACCCAGGAAGAGAGCAATTTTAAACCGTTTACATAGATTGAGATTTAAGAGAAATTCCATACACCAGGATATATTGTCTTTGTATTTACTTTAAGAACCTATGAATACTTGACTTTGTTTTAACTGATTACTCAAATGATTTAATAAACATTTACAAGCATTTCTCACATGTAGATGTATTTTATCAATGCTCACAACTATTTTAGCTTATCCATTATAAGAGAGGTATTTGACCATCGTAGTGAACGTTAGCCCTGTTTAGCGTGTGTTTCCATGGCTTTATATCTTTAAGAAGTCACCTGAGCCAGCACCTCCGTCCTCTTTCTCGTCTTGGCTAAGCTGGAGCAGACTATGTGCTCCTGTGTGCTAAATATTTGTGGCAGGAAGAAGAGGGAGGAAAGGAAAGGACATTCAGATGGAGCAGAGGAACACATTTGAAGATTCCTGTGCTTGTCCATGTGAACTCTGGAGGAGACAGGCTTGTGGTGAAGCTGGAGAGTGGGGACTGGGGGAACCTATGGGAGAGTGACTGATCCAGGGACCTGGGAGGGAGCTGATAGCAGTGAGAGTAGGAGCCAGAGAGGAACTACAGCCTTTCTCAAAGAAGCCACCCTCTAGAGATAATTGTAGTGACAGTTTGTGTATAAGTTTCAGAAAGCAGAGTGCAGTGGGACCTGATTAAATCAAGATCTGCTCAGATGGTTAGCTGTTCATAACCATGGATTGCTTCAGTGTGGAAATTCAGATTGACTTCAGTGAGGGTGACAAATTGTTTTATATGGCCCTTGAGTCAGGTCCCCAGGCAGATCCTTAGGATAGCGATGAATGGCACCAACAACACTGCTGTTGAACTAGTGGGTGCACTACCTCGTGTGTTCTCCCAGTAGCCTGTGCAGTGTGCATTACTAACTCTCCCATCTTGAGAATCAGGAAAGCAAGGTTAGAGTGGTGAGGTGATTCCCAGCCTTCACATTCCTCCCAAATGGACCACTTTTTATACCCAACACACTCATACCCAGCAGCATGCTGGAACAGGTGAGAAAGCCTGCATCCTGGAGCCAGTGTTGTCCTTCAGGAACAGGAAAAGGAGTGTCTGGCTTTGGGAACACAGGAACTAAAGTGGGCTCCTGAGGGACCCGCCCCGCTGGCCAGTGCTCAGGTCCCGAGCTCAGTTCCACACCTTCCCGCCTTGGTTGGATCTGGTGGGTTCAGTGGTATCTTCTGGATGTGGGAGGTGAGGTCCGACAAGATAGATCCACGTCCATAACATAGGGTAAAATGCAGTGAGAACGGGGAGAGGGAAAAAGAATGCCTCCCGTTTGGGACGCTTCACACTGCCTAACATTTCCTGAGAGGGAATCGAGGTCCTCTGGGCCACTTGCATACTCTGAGCCTGAGTGAAGACGACTTGCTGGAAGAGCCAGACACAGATGACAAGAACATGTGCTTTATTGAGAAATATCAACTATGTGTATTTGGGATGATGGGGTAGCACATAGTGGGGGGAAATATGGGGATGTGGGGTGGTCCTAACTGCTCAAGGGGTCCTTCAGGCTGGATCCATTTGCCTCTAAGACATCAACTTCTCTTTGGAGCCTGCTGAGGGCGGCTCTTGGTGTCCTGCTTAGGATCCTGTCTTCTACATCTCTTAGAAAGGACTCTCGAGCAGCCGGTGGAAGGCCTGCCCCATGAGCAAACAGGTTCTCTGTGGTCTGGGGGCGTCATCCTCTGGGTGTGCAGAGGAGGTGGAGGGCTCTGTGATCCCTGACTTGTGGCTGCTGCTCCCCTCGACTGCCGTCTGCAGAGAAGGGGAGAATGAGTTAGATACACGTAATATCAATACAATGGAGTCAATATTTACTCCTTTATGGAATTCACATCCTTTTATCAGAAAGGCGACTTCAGTGCGGTCTCAGTAATCAGAAATACTGAAAATATTCACACACACAATTTTTGGCATCACAATAGTGCTTCCCTTTGTTCCCCCCCCCCCCCGTGCCCCTTGGTATTTCCCTGCCTCTCCTCCCTGAGTCCTTTCCTTGCTGTCTTAGCCTCTTGCTAGTCTTGTGCATCCCCCAGGATCCAGCCCCACTTCACAGCAGGTCACTCCCAGCCCCGTGCTGTTCACCTGCTCCCCACTGGGCCTGGCCCTTGCTCTCTGGGAGGCAGCTCTGCTCACCTCGGCACGTTCCTGTCCCTTCAGTGTCACAGGCAGCTTTGGGACTGGGATGACATCTGTGTTTCCTGATGGTTTGCACATGGGCGAGTCTAGACATGCCTCATGTCCCTGATGAGTGAGCTGGGCAGGGGAACAGCTGCTCAGCCTGAGGTCTTTGGCCAGAGTAAGTTTGAGGCAATCCTGGTCCTCATCTTTCTTCTTCTTCCGAATTTTTTGGGGATTTTCATTGTCTTCCTTTTGGATTTCTTCATCATCCATGTAAAAGCCCTGAAATGTCTTCAGCAGTTTCACAAGACCATCCAGTTTTCCTTCAGTACATTTTGTTTCATCTTTGCCTCTGTAGATTTTCATGAGCAGCTGATTCTTCAAAGCCATTGTCGTCAGCCCAGGGCACAGTGATACCTAGGTTGTAGATCTGCTGTGGGTCATCCTGAAGTAGCTTTCATAGGTTGGGCCATCTCTTGTTCCCTTCAGGCCCCCACCTGCCTTGGATAGCAGAGATGAGGTCACCTGAAGAACACACACTGGGAGTCGTGTCTTCAGGAAGGATGATGTCCTCACAGGACGAGGGCTCTTCACTGGGGAGACAGCCCCCAGAGAGGCTCAGCATGCATTTGGTTTCAGAATTGCAGTCCTCTGTGTCAGAGGGGTCACTGCTAGGGGATGAGGATGCCATGGGATTGAAGAACCAATATGAGAGTCTCCGTCAACACCGGAAGCTTCCAAAGGGGAAAAAAATGGGAGATATTGGGGAGAAAATTCACTGCCAACTCCTGGAGCATAAACAGGAGATGTGAGAGAGTCTTTAGCACTCAAATCTCTGTGGCTAATGGTGAGGTAGGTCATAATCCATCTTCTGTGACTGCTGGTTACCATGGCAATATCCAAACCAGTCTAGCCAGACAGTAGGACTAGAGAGAAAAGGGATAAGAAACCACAGAATCTATCCCCTTCCTTCTGAAACATTGTGACTACACACCATGCAGGCTGAAGGGTCCCTCTTGAGGCCAGAAAGAGCAGTGCTACAGGGTGGGGTTTACTTTCCTCTTTCCTTGAGGCATCAGAGATCATTCCTATTCTCAAGGAATGGAGACTTTGGGGGGGAGACCAGCATAAACAGCCTAGGACACAGTCAAAGACAGGGTGGTAAGTGCCACAGAAGAACTCAAAATTGGGTCCTGAGTGGATGTACCTGAGTTCGGCTCTTACCTTGGATGCTCGAGGCTCTAGGTTTGATCCCAGCACTGCAGTTGAAAAAGAATTGATCCTCATTGGGAAATTTCAGTCCTTTTTGGCCAAACTGCAGTCCTTTTAGTTCTGATTTCCTCCCCCCTCCATTGGGCTGACCTGGCATCTCCAGATGTGTGGCCAGTCTACTTCAGGTTGCCCAGAGCTTAGCTCTAGACTGGTAACTTGCAGTGGGTCTTGTGCTCACAGCTGAGCTAGTAGTAACAAGGAGATGGGTTTTAGGGACAGTTCCAACTAATTTGTATAGTTCTTATTCATACACAGTGTATGATTCATTTGTTTGTAGTGTGTTCACACTGGTACAATTATCACTATATTAGGAACATTTTCTCAACCCTAAAGAAAATCTCCATACTTTGTAGTAATAACAACTCCCCATTCATTCCCAACCCACCCATCCTTAGGCAACTATAAATCTATCTAGTTTCTGCCTCTGGAGCTTGGCTTTTTGTGAACATTTCATGCAGTTTAGGGTATTTGGACCTAATATGATGCTTTTCAGGCTTGTTTATATGAAAGCATGTATACACTAATCTTTTCATTGCCGAGTTATATTCCACTGCATGGATAAGCCATGTTTTGTGTTTGCTTTCACGATGTAACAGGTACTTGGGTTGTTTTGTATCTTGTGTCATTATGAGTGATGCTGTTGCCATCAGTTAAGGGGCCATGAATTTGTAGTTCCCTTAGATAAAAATCTACAAGTTAATTTCATAATGGTTGTGTTTTTAACCTTTGAATGAGCCACCAGATTGTTAGTCTAAAGATGTCCCATTTTAGTGTCTGAGTATTTAGTTCATTCACATCTGTACCTGCAGTTATTCTTATTTTACCAATTGTCCTGAGCCTGGAGTGATGGCTCATTTTGGTTGTGCTTTTTATCTTTCTTGTGGTCAGCATCATTTGGTGTGCATGTTGGCCATCCATGTTGGTAAAGAAGGCTCGTTTCCCTTGTGAGCAGTTCCCCTTCAACCTTCCCCTTCCCTGTGGTTGCCCTGGTAAATCTGTTTCTATAGTATAGATAATGACATCACCATATCCTGTTTTTACAAAAGTCTGTTTCCTCTTCCTCAAATGAAACCACCCGATGTGCAGAGTTGCAAACTCTCACTGTGTAAAATTAAACATCTTTGTTCTGCTTTTGTAGCCTTGTTTCCGCATGTAACAGTATAAAAGAACTGTATAGCTCCCAGTCAGTGCTCAGTTTGGAGTACATAACACCTCTGGGTCGGCCAGCGAAACAAAGCTGTTTCCCTCCCCGTCTCTTGAGTGCCACTCAGTTTCTTCGCCTCCAGTAAACCTAAAATTGCTGTAACAGTGTCTCTAGAGAAGCTCTGTGGGCTGCATCAAGGCCTCTCACTTTCTATTTTAGTTGTCTTTTAAGTGTTGCGCTGTATGTTTGTTTTGTTCATGTTCTTGTTCCTCATGGATTACTCTGACTGCAACGGTTTATTCCCAGGATCAGTGCCTGTTCTGTGTGCTAGCCCTTGTCTTGCTGACTGCAGTTTGGTTGTAAGTTTTGAACTCAGGAAGTATGAGTCTTCCAACTTTTTTAATTGTTGTGGCTCTTAGACCACTTCATTTTCATAGGAATTTTTGATGTCAGGCTAGGGATTTAGCTCAGTGGCACCGTGCCTGTCTGGCAAACACAACGTCCTGAGTTCAATTCTTGGTACCAGAAAAAAAATCACAATGTCTGCAGGAGCTCTTGGGGATTTTTAGTAAGTGCTGCATTGAATTTATAGGTCACCAGGGGGAGCATTGGCACCTTAATGTTGTCTTCCAGCCCATGATATTTCCCATTATATGGGTCTTTGATTTCTTTTACCAATGTTCTGTAATATTTAGAGTATAGACTTTAGCTGGCTCTCTGGGTTTTTTCCATAGGAACCCAGAGCCTTCTCACTGATCTATATCCCCACCCCACCTTTTCTTTTTTTCTTTCTTTCTTTCTTTCTTTTTTTTTTTTGTAGTTTGGAGCAGCACCTTGCTAAGTTGCCCAGGCTAAGCTCGAACCTGAAGTTTTCCTGTTTCACCCTCAGTGTGCTGGGGTTGCAGATGTACACCACCACATCTGGATGACTTACCACTTTTGTTAAATTTATTCCAAAGTATTACTTTCTCTGCTACTGTAAATGGAATTGTTTTCTTGACAGTTATTGAGAAGTACAATTGACTTTATATATTTTTCTTGTATTTCATAAACTAATCAAATTAGTTTATTAATTTTTGGTGGACTTTATATGATTGTCTATATACAAGATCATGTCATCAGCAAGTAGAGTTCATTTTACTTTCTAATCTGAATGTCTTTTTTTGTGTGTGTGTATGTAACTGTAATGGGTAGAACATGTAGTAAAATGTTGGCTAGAAGTGGCAAAAAATGACATGTATGATGGTGCATGATGGGAGTTCTGGCCACTTTAATTCCAGTTACTTGGGAGGCTGAGGCAGAAGGATTGCCAGTTATGCCCACTTGGAAAATTTGGTTTTGTTTTGTTTTGTTTTCCAGTACTGGGGATTGAACTCAGGACCTTGCACTTGCAAGGCAGGCACGGTGCCACTGAGCTAAATCTGTGACCCTCTACTTGGAAGTTAGCAACTTTGCAAGACTATCTCAAAATTTTAAAAAAGTAAGGGGCAGCTGGGATGTAGTTTGCTGTGAAAATTCTGGGTTCATACCAAGTACCAGCCCAAAAGGAAAAAGAGAGACAAAAAATGATAAAGTAGACATTTGAGCAGGTATGGTGGCTCAGCCCTATTATCCAGGCTGGCTGGGGCAACAGAATGGCTGTGTGCTCAAGGCCAACCTGGTCTAAATAGCCAGATCCTGTCTCCAAAAAGGGGGCAAGGGTAGACATCAGGTCTCGTTCCTCACATCATCTCTCACAGGGAGAGGTCTTTCTTCCAGCTGTAGACATGTGATGCGTTGAGGATTATGTATAGCTACCTTTTATATCAATTGAAGTTATCTTCTACTTTGTATTCCTGTTCTGAAAAGGTGTGGGACCTTGTCATGCTTTTACTACATTTATTGAGAAAAATCATGTTTGTTTGGTTTTTTTCCTTTCCCTTTTATCCTATTGATACTGCAAAATTTTTTTTGATTTTGAGCCAACTTTGCATTCTTTGACTTCTAATTTTGGTACAAAGGTAATATTAGTCTCGAGGATGCAGCTGGGTAGTGTTCCCTCATCTTTTATGTTTGGTAATGGCTAGTGTAGAGTCAGTTTTATTTTAGTTTATTTTTTATTTATTAATTTTTTTTTTTTTTGAGACGGGTTCTTGATTTGTAGTTCAGGCTGGGCTCAGACTTTCGGTAATCCTCATGACTCAGTCTCCTGAGTGCTGTGATTACAGGCATGCACTGCCTGTATTCAAATTTTTTGTGGGGTTTTTATCATGAATGGGTGTTGGACTTTGTCTAACAGTTTTTGTCTATTGAGATGATCATGTGATTTTTGTCTCTGGCTCTGTTAATATAGTATTTTACATTTATTAATTTGCATATGTTGAGCCAATCCTGCATCCCTGAGATGAATCCTAATTGGTCATGGTGTATAACCTTAATGATTTGCTGCATTCTGTTTGCCAGTATTTTAGTATATGTGCCGAAGCGAGCACTATTTGCCTGTATTTTATTGAAGATTGTTGCAGCTATGATCGTTAGGGAGATTGTTCTGTAGTTTTCCTTTTTGGTTGGATCCTTCTCTGGTTTTGGTATCAGAGTAAAGCTTGCTTCCAGGAATGACTTGGGAGAATTGCTTCCCTTTCAATTTCATTGAGAGGAATATAGCTCAGTGGTGCTGCCTGCATGGCAAACACAGGGTCCTGAGTTCAATTCCCAGCACCTGGGGGAAAAAAAGTTTCAATTCCATTTAAGAATTTGAGAAGTATTGGCATTAGGTCTTCTCAAAATTTATTGTAGAATTCAGCAGTGAATCCTTCAGGACCTGGGCTTTGCTTTGTTGGTAGGTTTTTAATTTTTATTTTTTTGGTGCTGGGGATCGAACTCAGGACCTTGCGCTTGTGAGGCATGTGCCAGAACCACTGAGCTAAATCCCTGGCCCCAATTTGTTGGTAGGTTGTTTTTTTTTTTTTTTGGTACGGGGGATCGAACTCCGGTCCTTGCGCTTGCGCACGCGCACCAGGCAGTGTAACCACTGAGCTAAATCCCCAGCCTGGTAGATTTTGATTGTTGGGGTTGTTTTGTTTTGTTTTGTTTTTGTAACGGGGATTGAACTCGGGACCTTGCACTTTCGAGGCAAGCGGCAGAACCACTGAGCTAAATCCTGGCCGTGGTAGGTTTTTAATTACGTCTTCAATTTCATTCATTGACTTGGGGTTATTTAGAATTTTTTTATCGTCATAATTCAGCTTTGGTAATTCATACATATCTAGGAATCTGTTCAGTTCTGTGTTTTCCATCTTATTTCAATACAGGTTCTTGAGGTAGGTATTGTTGATCTTCTGGATTTCTGCAGGATCTGTTGTGATTTCACCCTTTTCTTAATTGCATGGATTTGATTCTTTTCTTTAGTTTTTTTGATAAGGTTGGCTAAGGCTTTATCAATTTAATTAATGTTTATTTTTTGAGACAGGGTCTCACTATGTAGTGCAGGCTGGCCTTGAATTTGTAGAGGTCCTCCTGCCTCAGCCTCTCAAGTGCTGAGATTACAGGCATGGGCCACCACACCCAGCCCTGTTCAATCTTTCAAAGAACCAACTCTGATTCTTGATTCTTTGTATTGTTTCCCATGTCTTTATTGCATTAATTTCTGCTCTGATCTTTGTAGTTTCCTCCCTTGTGTGTTTAGGGCTTGACTTGCTCTTGTTTTTCTAGAAGCTTGAGGTTCAGTGTTAGCTTGTTTATTCTCTACCCCTTTTTTTTGAGACAAGGTCTTGCTATGTAGCCTAGGCTAACCTCCAATTTAGTATCC